TGAATATTTAGTTGCCATATTGCATTTTATAAAGACATACTTAATGATATAGAAGTTAATTCTTAAATTGATATTTAAAAAGTGAAAATAAGTTAAAAATATCTTATTATCATTTAATATTATCAATTATTTGTGATTGTCCCTTATATTGCTTTTTTTGAAATTCAATTAATTATTTATTTTAAATTTTCCATCATTCATTTTTCTAATAATATAAATATAAGATTTATGTCATAATACTATCTAATTCTTCTCCTTATTAGTTAAACTTTTCATAATCTGATAAAAGATTATATAACTTAATAATTGAAGCATTATTTATATTATTAATAAGTACTTTTCCTAGAAACAGAGGAGTTAGTGTTTTTGCACTTAATGTAATTATCTAATTTATCATAGAAATTGTATTATTTGAACTATTCTTTAAAAGCCTTTAAATTTTCAATCCAATTAGAAGCTATTCTAATTATAGAAAAAAATATTTCATTAAATTCTATTATAAAATATTTCTTTAATATCTAAACTGTTTCAAAAATTATTTTTACCATTTATTCTTTTCATCATTTAAGAAAGAAAATTTGATTGTTGTCTTTCACCAAAGCTTTTAAAGAAAATTATGATAGCATTTGATATTGAAAATATTTATTTACTTACTATGAGTGTACTTAAACTGTTTTAACCATATAATGTACATAACCTAATTTATTATTGAGCATATGATTTTTTTATCTATTAAAGTTAAGTATCTTTTAAATAAATTCTAATAGAATTATATTTATATAAAGTGGTCAGTTTAAGAAATAAGTAGAAACTGTTTATCAATAAGTTTCGATATTTACATAAGGAATTAGAACTAAATATTAATTATCTATTAAAAAATTACTTAATTTAAATTCAAAATAAGTCAATTTTTCTTTTTTAAAATCAGTCATCAAATTATCAGAATATAAATAATAATTTATATAAACTTTAACATAATTGACCTTAAAAATGGTTAAAAATTTTTATAGTTTGAAGGAATATCTAAAATTATCATCATTTAATTACTTTCAGATTAATGATGAAAATAAACAATAATCCATTTAATTTATGGTGAAAGTAACTTAGTAAAAATTTATTTAGGCTAAAATTTATAGAATAAATAAAATTAATTGTTCTTGTATGTATGTTTAAAAGGAAAATATATTGAGGTAATAGAATTACTAAATAAAGCTATTCAATTAAATCTTAATTAATCTCAAACTTTAAGTTTTATAGGTAAAATTAAAACATATTTGATCGGTTAATGTCTAATGGAGCTAAATAAAAATGAGGAGGCAATAATTTGTTTGATTAAGCTTTAGCTATCAATCCTCAGCATGTTATCTCCTTTTAGAAAGAGGGTAGATTTAATATTTATTAGATTTATAGCTGAATGCTGATTATATTATCTTTTATTCACACATACTTTAAAATTCTTATGCAAATATTCGATTGCAATAAATTAGTCAGATAAAACAGTATGAAGTGATAAAAATGTGGTTTCATTATGTGAAAAAAGTTGATTTAATATAATAAAATTAATAGGTGATTTATGAGATTAAAAAATATGAGGATTCTTTAAAATATCTAAATTAAGCACTCTCTATTTTGTCTTTGCGATATTATTTTTCTCAAAAATAATGGTATCTAATTATTTTATTGTAGGAAATCGTTTAAATATTAAGGAAATTATAAAGAAGCTCTGATTTGTTATCAAGAATTATTTTAGAAAGAATCTAATGTTCAATTTGAAAAAGATCGTATAAGTATTTTTAACTTATTAAATAAGAAATTTGTTATAAAAATTATATAATTAGTAATTAATATTTATGAAAAATTAAGTATTAATAACACTGAATTCATTCTATCTTTATTTATTAAAATTCGAAATCCAAATGATCTTTTTAAGTATTTATTTGTTCAAATCATATTTAGCTAATTTTCAGTAATGCAATTATCATAAAAGAAAATAAGAAAATCATCAAAAAATTGTAATATTTTATAAAAATATGTTGAAATCTTTGAGTTTAAGTCAGAGTTCTCTGATACATAAATTAAGAAACATTATTTAAACATCTTAACACTTAATTTTGAGTTTATTCCATTAAAGGGTTTTTATAATCCAGCAAATTTTAATAATTGGATTTGTAATACAAAATTTATAATCAAAACTAAAATTTCAATAATAGGATTAAATTATTTAATAATAAAAATTCGTTGTAATTATCTAAATAGTGTATTTCATTAGTATTTATTATAAAAAAAATAAATCTTATTTAGCATGTTTAAAATTTTTAAATTCTCCATAAATTGAAGGCTTATTTATTTAAACCATATTCCATTATGGAATATTAATGGAATATTTTATAAGGACAGTCAAAATGGAGAAATGAATATTGATGGTATTTGCAATTCAATTTTCGGTGATGGGATAAGATAATAAAAAGAATAATGTGATGATGAGAGTAAAATATTATTTGATGAATGCATTAATTGTTAATTTTGATGTCATCAGTATTATGTTAATTTTCTTGAAGGAATTTTTTATGAATGTCTTAACAATACTATAAATTGATTAACGTGGTAGCGGAATAAAATCTTACATGAATAATGTAATGATGGCAATCTTATTGATGGTGACAGTTTTTCCTCTAAATGTAAGATTGAAGTGGATTATATGTATTAAGAGAAAACTTATAGTACTTTGAATGCAAATACTCTGAATCCCATAACAAGATAGTCAAATTCTTAAATCAAGCTTATAATAAATATTATCTTGAAATTTCATTCTCTTCAGCAATCTTTTTTTTTTAGGTATACTAGAATCTTTTTAGATTATAGTATTGATGAATCACACAATGAGGATTATTAAATCAAATTAGAATAAAACTATGAAAAAAAGTAATTAATTAGATTCTAAAATTTGAATTTTAGATATAAATTGAATTCTAAATTTCTACTAATAATAATCTTGTTTAGTTTAATTATATTTCTGACTTATATTTGAATCCACTAATTTAATATGCATTATTCGAACTTTTTGATTATTGATGAACTCCATTTCAAATTTTTATATTAGGAATTTATTGAGTCTTTTGTTAAATTAAGGTTTTGTAATCTAAATGCTCATTTAATTGTTTATTAGTAATTTTTTTTATTATTTAAGTCATATCCACATTATATTTGTAATGATAATGAAAATGATTTCCAAAATCAACTTTAGATTAATCTATAAAATTTAAACTTAACTTTTTCTTATCAAACTCATAAATTTGAAATCAAATATCTTATAAAAGTACTCAATTGGATATTTTATTTTTCATTAAATCTTGGCTTTTCCGTATCTATTTTATTAAAAATAATGCATAAGATTTGTTATCTATTGGGAATTGTTATTAAATATGTAATTATGGTATATTAAAAAATTAAACAAGGATGCCTTAAAAAATAAAAAGAGCAATAGAACCTCCCAATTTGTTACACACTCAATGTTTGAAGTTTTTACATTACTCTACATATTATTATTATTAAAATTTTAATTTTTTTTTAATTTTAAAAGGATAAAATTACAATTTCATGTTTCTTTTGAATAAAATTTATTTGATTTTATTTTTTAATTCTAATTCATCAAATTTTTCAAAATAAGACTATAGAATTTCTGATTAATTTTTATTTGGAGTAAACGTCAATATTAATTTTGTGTCAGACAACATTATTAAGTGAAGTGTAAATAATTAGTTTATTTTTCAATATTTCTGATGACATTTAAACTTTTATTTACATGTGAACTATTAATTAACAAATAAATTATATAGGATAATCTAAAAATATTATAATCAGAATTAAAATCTTATTCGTTTAATTAAAAATTTTGAAGTTCATTTTCTAAAAATGAAATAATTTAACAAATTTCATGAAATTATCTGTTTCATAATTATATATTATTATATATGATTAAATAATAAACAAAGCAAAAAAAAAAGAAGCATGTAACATAAGCGTATTTATTTAAAAGGCAACTGGATTACCCGTAACCAATGGAACATTCAAATTAAAAAAAAGTAAAATATTTGTCCAAAATCAAAATAACAAATTAGTAGAACTTCGTTACAACACTGTTCCTTGAATATATATATATATAGGTTCAAGAAAAACATAATCAAGCTTAAACTTATTGTAGGATACATGAAGAAAGATTGTTATATCAACAGATTCTAACGTATCATCTTAATTGTGATCTCTGAAATTATAGTATATATATATTATCAGAAAGATACGAATTTAAGAAAAAGTCACGAAAGTATGATTACACAATAGACTAATTGAAAGTAGAAGATATTAAATTGATTTGATATGATATGAATTGTTGTAAGTAATTCTGTCATAAAAAAAGAAGCATAAGAATTACGACATTTCTAAATAATGAATAGTTTTATCAAAAATGATAGAAAAAAGAATATTTTAATAAATACATCATCATATACAATGTAAAGAAAACGAAATATGGTAATATAGTCAAGAGATCTGAATAATCTTTATTCATCTATTAAAAAAATTCTTAAACATTAAATCTAATGAAAAAGAAACAGATATAAAAAACTTCAACTCCTTCTTTAATAGTTTCTCATTTCAATTCACCCAAAATATTCTCCAAATAATCTTTTCAATGCAATAATTTTTTGAAATCAATTGAAGATTAAGTTATTAATACTATGCTATTAAGAAGTAAATTGATTCTCGACTTAAGAATAACTTAATTTAAATAATATTATTGATTAATCTTCTATAATTTTAGGATTCTTTTCCTTCTATGAATTTGACTGATATCTAAAATTGAGGTAAATTTTAAATCTTTATAATATTTATTGAGGATACTTATCAGATGAAAAAAGTGATATTTAAATATCAATTGATTAACAGTATCATTGATAATCTGATAAGATAAAAAATTTGATTTCCACTGCAAAGAGTAAGCATATATTTGTGTTTTTATCTTCGGCTATTTAAATCTTTGATTTCATTTAGCAACCAACAATTTTATTGATTTGTATTATGATGATCCTAATATTTTTCATCAAGATAGACAAAATTAAACTCCTCAAATCTTTAACTAACTAATTAGTAAATCGATATTTTTTTTACATTTTTTAATGGGAATTTATAACTTGCATCAAAATTATTTTTTATCTAATTTGAAATCTCCTCATTCTTAATTCAAATTAAGAAAATTTAAACTGTTTTAGGAATTTTTTAATTCAAGTGTTGTTATAAAATTTTAAATCCATTACATATGTATTCTATTTATTTTGGAAAAGTTTTGTTATTAAGTTTTTCCTCTTTATTATCGAATATATATATATTATCCAATATATATATATAAGAATATTGATGCATTTAAAAATAGTATTGCATAATTTATAAATTTAATATGAATAAAATCGCTAAAACAAATGGAATTTATGATAAGATCAATGAAAATTATCATATGAAATTAAATGCTTTGATTTTATGAAAATATAAGTTTTTATAAAACTTTTGGTTATCGTATTTAAGAGTCTGAATTAAATTGAGTATATTTTTACTTATTTGTGTTAGAGTTATTGAATGTTATATTTCTCTTCATATTATATTTTATTAAATTTCACCAATAAAAAAAATTTTATTAATAGAATTTTAGAGATATAAATAATTATTTGTCATTTATAAGGATATAAAAATAAATTATGGCTTGTTAATATTCCTCTTCTAGATTTCAATTTAATAAACAAGAGGTGGCTCTAATGTCATTATTTAATTCTTAATTCAAATCTATTTAGAGTAAATTAAACTTTAACTTAAGGAACAATTTTATCCATTTCCTTATTTTTACTTTCCAAAAATGTTAATTCTGCTTTATCTAATTTTAAGATTATTTTCCTAACCTAGATTCTGAAGTTTGAAAAATCTCAATTTTTTTACCAAACTTGAATCTTTTTTAATCCTTTAGTTTTCTATTTGAATAAATTATATTCATCAGTTAATTATTATTGGGTTAATCATCTGCTTATATTTGATGCATGCTATTCAAAATAAATAATTAAATAATCTGTATAGCTTGCAAAATAGAAATAAAATGGTAAAACCTTCATATTATTAAACAATGAGTGGGAAAAAAAGATAGTTTAACTAAAAAGAAAACTAACTTAATTTGGTAACACAAAATGCTACATCTCATCTATATTAGGCATCAAAGATCATATTATTTTCTTTAATTATGTTGATATTAGAACTATTAATTTTGCAAAAGCAAAGTCTATTTTTAATGCATTTTTTTTATGAAATTTCATTTAGATAGGTAGAAATCCATTAAATAATCAATAATATTAATTAGAATAGGTTGATTCATCTATTCATAATCTTTTGATGATGGTTTTTCATAAACTTGGCAATAATGGCCCTCTTTCATCCAATTGACAATCATGTGATCCAAAATTACTAGTTGCTTTAACATCTTTTGTGTGTTTTTTTAAATTGGATATTATAATATCGAAAAATTATAATACTCTATTAATTAATTTTACAATCTGAAACAAACTATTCTTGTTACTAATTATTTGATAATCTTGAAGAAGATTGTATTGTTTTTTTCTTTAGATCTTTATCTTAATAATTATACATGCTGATGCATCATAAATATCAATATTTTTTACTTTTTAAATTACATTTACTATAAGCTTTACTTTTATAGAGTGGTGAAATGTTAGAGTAATTAAATAAATGATCAAATAGTATAATTAGAATGTAGTTATAAATATATCTGATAAATATGTCTCTTGTCTAAATGAAGTATATTGACGTTTAAAATGAAGTCTGCCAAAGTATTAGTCATTTATATAAATTAAAAAAAATAAAGAATAATGATTAAATATGTTATTGTGTTGTTGATAATCATAGAATTTACGTGATAAAAATTTTTAACTTGTGTTTATTTATATCATATGAAAATCTAATTACAAAGAGTTTTGAATAATTTCAGATTGATATGATAAAAACTTGACTTTTTATTCTAATTTATTAATTGCGAAACTACTTTACAAAAGCTAATATTTGAAACATTATATTTATCAATTAACCCTCCAACTTTTTATAAACTGAATATATTTGCCAATAATTCAGTGTATTTACAATCAATAAAAACAATTGAAATACAAAATTAGATAATATTGCTTGGAGAACAAGTCAAGATCTGCTCTAATTTAATCTTTTAATTAGCTAAGGATTAAAATTTATTTTAAATATATTAATTCATATTCTATTAGAAACTTAAATCTCATATTAAATTACTAAAGTGTAACAGAAACAAAATTTAAGATATAGCATGAAAATTTAACCCAATAACTTCTATTTATAAGAAATCACTATAGGTTTATTTTAATATAAAACCATTATTGTTTAGTCTACGAAACAAAATAGATGATTTTATTAGCTGGCAATCTAGAATAGTTAAGATAAGATGAAATATTACTCACCCTTTTGAAAGGATTACCTCCTAACCTGCAAAAATTAATTACTTTTCAACATCATATTAGAATTTGGCTTTATAAAATTAAAATGATTTACTAATACAATCTAAGATAAATTTTACAATGTCCTTCAGATTCATATATTAAAATAACAATGATATCTTGTCAGATTAGAATTATTATAACCTGAAATTTTAAATTAAATAAAGAGTTCTTTAATTAATTTGGATCAGTTTAACTTTAAAATCAATTAGTAAGTGAAGAAATTCATAATATTTGCTATAATCTTAGCACAACATAAAATTAAATATATAATATCTACAATTAACAATTTAAAAAAAAATAGAATACTTAAAATAAAGTACTTATAAATTAGATATTAATCGAAAATATTATAATAAATTACAAAATCAATCCCTAGAAGAGATTTATAAAACTTAATATATATGGTATTTGATATAATTAGTTTAATTAAAATACAATTTTTAAATGAAATATGTTCTTAATTATATTGAAATATATATTCAAATTTATCAACAATTAATATAGATCAAAGTATTGTTAGTTTATTAAAATTTATTCCTCTTATTGTAGAGAAAACATAAACTTAATCTATTTTTACAAAAAGCCAAGTATTTTTGAAAGAGATGAGCTTATTTGATAGATTGAAAAAGAAAAAAATTATTTTTCAATTCATAATTTAAGATTGAAAAAGCATAAAAGCATTATCTAGTAGATTTTCTTCAATTTGAAGGTCAATACTTCAAATCCATTCAGGTTTTAAATCAGATTTAGAAATACTACTCTCTAAAATTTATTAAATGATCAAAATTTACAATTATACTAAAAAAAATTATTATAATGTTTTTAAATATTTCATACAAACATATTAAATATCCAATATCCAAATTGAAAAATTCTACTTATTTTGTTTTGAAATATAGTATGTTAGAAAATTCTTTAGAATATTTCATAAGAAAAGCTTGAATATATTAAAAAATAATACAAACTTGTGAATGAAAAAAGTTTGAGGATATATTACTTACAACCTCTACTAATTTTAGTTAAGTAATTATAAGATAATAATTTTGAATCAACGGACTTTTGAGTTCTAATAATTTCTACGAGCTCTTCAATATATATAGGCTTTGTCATATATATTTAACATAATAATTAATAAAAAAAAACTAATAAGTAAGAATAAATGTTGAATAAAAAATTTGAATCCACAAATCTTTTACTATAAGAAATCTTTGATATATAAAGTAAGTTCTCAAATTTAAATTTAAGAATAAATATTATCATCAATGCATTTTTTAAAATTTAATTATAGAGAAAAAACATCAAACTATAGGATTTTTGAAGTTCTATCATAATTAAATTTATTATTGACTTTAACTATTTTTGAATGTTAGTTGTAAGATAATTCAATTTTTTTTCAGTATTGTAAAGATAATTGTTATTTTCATATTGAGAATTATTTATAAGGTATTTGAATCAATATATATATTTGGAAGAATTGCTGCTTTTTTATAATTTTTTTAATGTCATCTTCTCTATAATTTAATGCAGAAATATTTGAAGAGTAAACAAAGATTTGATAATATGTTTAGACAGAAATAAT